TGTGGTGTTTGTTAGGGTCAGAACCAAGGACATTAAATCAGGCAGAAACAAGGAGAGACTGGTGTTAGAGCAGGTAGCCTCCACCACCAAGATAGAACCCATGCAGGGAACAAGCATCAAGCAAAGTGGCTAGGATCAGGCTCTGCCCAGCCAGAACTGGACCTCACTGCCTAGTTCTAGGCACATGAGTGACATGAAGAACAATGGACCAAAACTGATCAACACATCATCTAGGTGCCTGAGTGATGTCGAGAACAATGGGCCACCTATGACATCATCCCATTGGTCCAGACTCAAGCTAGGAAACACATCAAAATGCAGAGCCAGTGAGCTATATTAATGCACCGCTCGCCTGATCCAGGGTCTTTCCCCATTCCTACATTTCTGGAGATTGACTCTTCTCAGAGTCTCTCTCTCTCTCAGATATACCTTGTCTAATAAAATTACCTTTGCTTTTCCTTTCACTCTTCGCCTTTCCTCTCAGCCACATCTTCTCACTGAGCTCAACCTATTCCAGGATTGTTTTGAGCAAGACAAACAACCTGTGAAAAGTCTGAATCAAGCCAAGACAAAGGTATTCACTCATGATAGATCTTTCTATCATATCCTACCAGAGCAAATTCTTTGTATGAGCAAGGGAGGCTGAGCCAGGGCTCTCAGCACACACAACAGTGTTGGAGAAGAGCACTGAATACCCTATGGATTGTCAAAATGATGAACAAATATGTCTCAGAGAAGGTGTAGCCAAAGTGCTTCTTGGAGGCAAAGATAGTTAAACTTCGCCTCGCATACTTTGGGCATATTGTTAGGAGAGGTCAGTCCTCTGAAAGGGACATCATGCTTGGGCAGGCAGAGGGTCAGCTAAAGACAGAAAGACTCCCAGCGAGGTGAACTGACACAGTGACAAGGAGCCTAAGTACATAGCAGATCTGAGGAGGATGGCACAGGATAGGGCCCCATTGTTCACAGAGGCGCTATGAGTGGCAGTCAACTCAACAGCACCTATCAATAACAACAATTTTTATCAAGACTGAGCAATTATCAATTTTTCAAAGTGGAGTTTATACAGCATGTGCTGAGGTGTTGTCTGCAGAGCTCTTAAAAGTCAACATGTATTAAATCCAAAACCTAAATTGTCCAAACCCAACTGCCGTTGGGTCAGTTTCAAGTCCCAGCAATCCTCCAGCGGTCTTCTGAGGATGTGAGTCTTCACAGGAGGATACTGCTTCCTCTTTTCCCCTATGGAATGGCTCGTGGATTTGAGCTCCCTTAAAAGTTCAACACTTAATGCACTGAGACACAAAATATCCTTGAGGAGGTTCAAGAATTGGCATTTTCGCAAGATGTTTTAGTGACTGTGGTGCATGCTAAAAATTGAGAACCCCTGAGAAAATCACACAACATAGAAAAGGAAGAAAATTCTCATATTTATTGAAGGCCTGCTATGAATGTTGGCCACTCATCTGTTAGTGTTTCCATACTGCAGTCACTTTAGTGTTGCTATAATACTGGAAACTAGGCACCTTCTGTATTTTAAACACCATTAGACACTCACTGAGTAGATTTCAAGGAACCATCCAGACTAAGACTAAGAATGATTAACCATCTACTCCTGAAATGCTAAGCTTTCAAAAATACTGTGAATAGTAGTGGAACACTGTCTGATTGAAGACCAACAGCTGGAAGACACTCAAAATATAACTGAAAAGGAACTGCCTTCTCCAAGTAGAGTCGACCTTAAAGATGCAGATGGAGTAAAGTTTCACCCAATAAAGAACCTTCGAAATGAGGAGAAAAAACTGCAAATACCTATTAATAATTGCAATATAGAATGTATGAAGCATCTGGGGAAATTGAAGTTCTCATCAATGAAATGCAATGCCTGAAGATTAAGATCCTGGGCATTATTGTGGTAGTTGTGTGTTGTAGAGTCAGAGCTGACCCATAGCTGACCCTCTGGCAGGTTTTCAGAGGCAGTTAATCTCATGGGAGGAGACTGTCCAGCCTTCTCCCATGGAGCAGCTGGTGGCCTTGAACCTTATGCCTCCGGGATTGCAGCACAGCTTCTTACCACTAAGTAAGCTTAAATGGTTGGGTGCTGACTTTTTTGAATCAGATAAGTATACAGTCTCGTCTTATCTCGTTGTCATCAAGTTGGAACCAGCTCACGGCTAACTCTCCCTTGGGTTTCTGAGGCGTAAATCTCAGCTTAGAGGATTGTCCGTCTTAGTCCCTCGGAATTGCTGGTGTATTTGAACCACTGGAGAGGGGTGGACTTCGGATTGACAGCACAGGGCTCTACGGATTATAAGACCAGTCCATTGAGAATCCCCAACAAGTTGAATTGACATGGTGTCAAAGAGGATGAGGATGGCACAAAAGAGGGCAGGGGTCAGGTCAGTGACCTCACAGGGTCACTATGAGTTGTACTTGATTTGATGGCACCTAACAACAACTACATTAGAAATGGTGAATTGAAGAGGAATAGTATGGGATACACTGAACAATTAGAAGAACAATTAGAATAGGACCAGGGACCAGTAATAAATCACCAATTGGTCTGTGTAAGATCACATTGGAGCTGAAGAAAATTAAAGCAAGTATGCAATAACCAAAATACAGCCCTCGAGTTCTCCCACCTGATAAGTATACCAGGACTAGATTTGTAGACCATATCAAAAATAGATCTGGTGAACTGAACATCAATGCCTGAAGACCAGGCAAGTTGTGGGACGACATCAAGGATCTTATACATGAAGAAGACAAAAGATATTCAGAAGACATGCTGAATCTTGCTCTAGAGTGAGACCAAGAAGTGATGAACCAAGAAAGCAGAATAGATTTCAAAGGGCAGCTTGAGAAGACAAAGCAAAATATTATAATAACATGTGCGAAGACCAGTTGAAAAACCAAGAGGAAAGAGTATGACTGGCAAATCTCAAGATAAAAGAACTGAATATACAGTCCTTGTGTTATAACATGGAAGGAGCTGTGGGCAAAATATTGAATGCAGGAAGCTTCCAAAGAAGACGGAAAGGATACACAAAACCACTTTACCAAAAAGAATTGGTCAAAACTTCCATTTCTGGTGGTAGCGCTTGTTCAAGAAGCAGTGGTTATTAAAGGAAGGAGCCCAAGCTGTACGCAGGGCTCTTAGGAAAAACAAACCTCCCGGAGTTGACGGAGCACCAATTGAGGTGTTTCAATGAATGGATGCAGCCAAGGATGTGCCCATTCATCTACGCCAAGAAATTTGGAAGACAGCTACGTGGTCAATAGACTGGAAATGATCCACGTTCGTTCTCATTCCTAAAGAAAAGGTGATCTAAAAGAATGCTTGAAAAAAGAAATGATTGAACGATATCATTAATATTAACATACAAATAAATTCTTTCTGAAGATAATTCTGAAGTAACTGGAACAGTACATTGACAGGGAACTGCTAGAAATTTAAGCTGGATTTTGAAGAGGCCCTGGAATGCGAGATATCATTGCTCATGTCAGATGTATCTTGACTGAAAGCAGAAAACACCAGGAAGATGTTTACTTGGGTTTTGAGTTATGCAATGTCATTCCACTGTGGGGATCATCGTAAGTTATGGATAACATTGAAAAGAATGTGAATTCCAGATTAATTGTGCTCATGTGGAACTTGTACAGAGATCAAGAGGCAGTCACTTGAACAGAAAAAAAAAAAAAGGAGACGTTGCATAGTTGAAAATCCAGGAAAAGTGTCCCAGAGCTGTAAATTGGCCATTTTAATTTATCAAACCTTCTACAGGAGAAAGATGAGCGGTCTTCTCTGGTAAATAGTTACAGCTTTGGAAAGCTTTTTAGGTTGTGTTAAATCTGACTATATGGCAATGGGTTTTGTTTGTTTTTATATTTTTATTTTTTTATTATTCATTTTAATGAATGTTTACAGAGATTTTGGATTTCCATTCATGCATTGTTGCACTTTTCTCCCTGCCCACCTGCCCCCCCCCCAGTTCACGCTTCTCTTTGCAAAGTAAAAGAAAAATTCTTTCATTGGTATACAATCTCCCCTCTCCACCCCCCCGCCAAGGAGTCCACTCCACTATGCAACTTTCATTCTTGACTCTTATCATGACCATAATACCCAAGCATATGTCACTTTTAAACAGTTCTCTCCCTCATCTGTTTCAATGCAGCATGGGTTTTGTTTTAATTCAATGTGTACACTGATCAAGTAGTCTGAGAAGCTGGACTACATGAAGAAAGTTCCATCGACAGTCTGTGTTACTCAGATGGTACACCCTTATTTGCTGAAAGTGAAGAGGACTTGAAGCACTTACAGAAGATTATGAAAGACTACAACCTTCAGCATGGACCACATCCTAACAGCTAGAAAACAAAAATCCTCACAACTAGACCAATAAATACTATGATAAATGGAGAAAATGTTGATGTTGTGAAGCATTTAATGTTAATATAGTTGGTTCCACCATCAACACCCAAGGAAGAAGTAAAACAATATATTGCAAGTGGGAAAATCTGCAAAAGACCTATCTAACGTGCTCAAAGACCTCACTCTGAAGACCAAGATGCATCTTACCCAAACTTTGGTATTTTCCATTGTTTCATATACATGTGAAAGTTCTAGTGTGAATAAGGAGGATCAAAGAAGAATGGATAGTTTTTAATTGTGATGTTGACTACATCATGACCATCAAAGAACAAATCCATCTGAGAAGCAGGGAACTCAGTGTGCTTCTCAGAAGCAAGGATGGTCTCACCCACCCTGGGCATGTTGTCAGGAGAGGTTAGTCCCTGGGAAAGAACATCATGCTTGAAAAGTAGAGAGAGAAAAATGGCAAGTCCCTGGAAGTGATAGACTAGCCCAGTCAATCCTGCTCTGCAGGAGAAGATGGACAATCTCTTCCTGTACATGTTGAAAACCTGCTAGAGGGTCCTCTGTGAGTGGGGCCTGACATCCTCCTTTCCCCACCCCTCCCTGAGTCCCTGAGCTGCCCTGGTTATCACCTCTGGAGGTTCTCTGCGTCCTTGATGGTCTCCGGCAAAGCCATGCCCTTGGTCTCCGGAAGAAGCAGTGTCACGCCTCCAGCCACAAGGCCCAGCACAGCTTCAAAGGGAAGAGATTTCACACAGAGCAATTAGTGCACAGCCAGTACCTTCTACAGAGGTCATCAGAGCTAATTAAAGAGATGTCCAGATAAGGTGGCAGGGTGAGAGAGATTATTTTTTTTAAGTTGTGCCAAGAAAATGAAAAAATAGGATAACTGGAGAAATATCAGAATGAAAAAAGAAATATTATAATTTTACTTCTATATAAGCATCAAGTTCTATATGGTAAATCAAAACCAAATCAATTGCTGTCAAGTAATGTTTAAGTATTAGAGGATTGTTTGATTCATGTACCTAAAAAACTATATGAAATTCAGTTTTGACCATTTATTATAATAAAGGGAGATAGATAGATAGATAGATAGATAGATAGATAGATAGATAGATAGATAGATAGATAGACAGACAGACAGGCACTTAAACAGGTAGATAGGTATATAGGTAGGTAGAGTGGCAGGGTATGTCAGAAGGAGCTCTTATTTTTAATTTTTTAAATTATTTTGTGTGTGTGTACCGTCAAATCGGATCTGACTGGTACAGAAGGAGATTGTCCCTCCTTCCCCAGCAGATCATCTGGTGGATTCGAACCATACATCTCTGGGATTGCAGTGCAGCTTCTTGCCAGTAGACCACCAGAGCTCACCAGGAGCTCTTATTTTTAAAGAAAATTTTCTTTTAATTGCGATTTAAAAGAATAAATACAGAGAAGTTGGGTTTCCATTCATTCCTTGTTGCACATTTTACCCCTCCTTTTTCCCCCTCCCCCAGTTCACTCTCTCCTTTTTTTTTTAAATATCCATTCATTGTTGCACAGTTACCTACCTACCCCTACCCCACCCGCAAGTCCTCTTTGCAATCATGTACCTCTTATTCTGGGCTATTGTTGTACGTATATTGCCTAATCGTATATTCCTTCTAAAAAGTTAGGAAGGAGCTCTTATAGCACAGTCAGAAAGTGTGTTGCACTGATAACCAAAAGGTTATACCTCTCCATCAGTTCAAATCCACTAGCAGTCTCAAGGGGGGAAAGTGGAAAGTCTCTTCCCATGAAGATTTACAGCCTCGGAAATTTGATGGAGGGTCACAACTGACTTAATGACAGAGAATGAGTAAAGTTGTTCATGAGATTAGGAAGATGGAGAAATAGATGAGATAAAACAGGAAAAAAAGAAGTAATTATAGAGTAAGAGTGAGAGAGTGAAGGATCCAGAACACTGGCACATGGCCACTAGACATGTGCTCCTCTTGTGACTCTACCACTTCCTTCCTCCACTCCTCTCTCCTTTTCATACTGACCTGCACCTGGGGAAGGCAAATCTTGGCACATGGTCAGTCATCCTATCTCTGACTGGATTGGTGAACAGAGTCTTGGAGACCCAAGTGTCTACCTCCTTATTGCCTTCTCTGAACCAACTTTATCACCAATTAAGCTCATCCTATACTTTGATCGCCAGTTCTCAATTGTTAAAATCCACGAGAAGCAGAGAGATAGATGTGAATGTAGCATCCTCAAGCCCCCAGCAATTGCACATTATATGTGCTAAGAGTTGAGTCAAGCTCACAGAAAAGCAGGGATTTAACCCATAAGTTTCCCAGATCACATCCTGTTGGAGGAATAATTTTGGAACCAGAGGACATAAATCTAGTCCATCTTCTAGGAAGACATCTTATTTTCCCACAAAGCACCAAGAGACAGAGCAAGGCATGAGGGAACTGAAAGTTAGCACCCTGCTATCTTCCTGGAAGTTCATTGGAGGTGTCAGTCACTCTACACAGTTACTGAGCACTCATTCTGTGCCTGTCACTGTGCCCACTGCCAGGCTGGAAAGAAAGGATAATGACTGCCTCGTGGAGACTCACCAAACAATACGAGAGGCAGACTTTGCCAAACTTCCATCAGCCTGAAGACAATGAAGGGTGTAATGATTCCTCCTATATCGCTTAAGGAGGAACACACCATCACTCCAAGGTTCCTGAAAAACACAGAGAATAAAAGAGATCTTCATTTTTAAATGTCAGTCTTGTCCTAGTCACAGAGCTAGCCCCTTTGATAAGCTTGAAGTGCTCTGATGGAATGCATACTACAAGAAAAGTAGAGGGATAGTGTGGTGTTAGAAATCTTGAAAATTGGCTTTTCTATCCATTGCATTAGCCCTTGCTAGGGAAATGGTCTCCAGCTACCTCAACTATGGACACATGGTCTTGCAAAGAATCATTAGCTATAGGCCCAATATATAAGAAAGTATTTTCCACCTCATAAGCAGTTCCTTACTTCACCTCTACCTTGCATGCGAACTTTCGAGTTGTAAAACAACTCAGTGGTAGATGGAATTTGCTCCAGGACTTAAGAACCATAAATGACATAGCTGAGCCTCTACATCTTGTGGTTTCTAACCTCTACACTATAATAGACAAAGTGCTAGTCTATAGGCCTTTTATTGTAAGAACCACCCTCCCTCTGTAACTTGATTTGTGCCACTACTAGAACCTCTACTCAGAATATTATTGCTTTTTAATTTTTGACTCATGTACTTTTAACTTGTTAGTTAAATTTGTGTCTTCTAGGTTGCAACACCTCCATGATACATCTTCAAGGATATGAACATGTACGGCTAAGCACAATTGATAACAGTGCATCTAAATTCCAAAATCAATTTCCATAATACTCTATGTGTTTCCTACTGCCAAAGGGGCCCTTTAGAGTAGTGAGAGAAGATCTTCACCCTGAAACCCACAGCGTCCCTTTTCAGCAGGAAGTAGCTAAGAGAATACGCCATCCCCTTTTCCTTATGAATCAGGGTGAAGTCTCTCTCAGGGAGGAGTGATAGGGAATGGCAAAGGACACACTGACAAAGGAGATTAATCAGAACTGACTTTGACAAGCACTGTGGCAATTGGACAATTAAAACAGACATTCAGATGGTGGGAGAAGAAGAACAAATTGGGGAGGAGGGTAGAGAGAATAGTGCAGCAATGAAGGAATGAAAACCCAAAATCTCTGTAAATGTTCATTAAAACTAATAAAATTTAATAATAATTTTTTAAAAAGAGAGTGCTTTCCACACTGTAAGAGAAAGGGGGAAGAAACTGTGGCACTGCTGTGAAGAGACTGTGGCTAGAGATGGAGCACAGTTGAAAGTTTTGCTTGCTGGATGTTTGATGGAAAAGCTGACTTATAACTGCTCAAAGATAAAGTTTACTGGATGATTGAGGAAACTAAAGGTGCATTTGTGCTGCTGAACTGAACCTGAAATTTCAATAATTGAGAAATTGTGCCTTGTTAGTCTGGCTTGGGACTGCCGGACTAAATCTGGACTTGCATTGTGTGATATTCTTTGCCTTTCCCACTCCTCAACCTATTTATCTAATAAGCCCTGTAACTGTGAGTATAGTCTGTGAGTCAAGTTTCAACAAACAATGGATAGACAAGGAGCATGTGGGGCTGCATGTCTAACCATGTACCTGTTCGTATGGCACAATGGATATTTTTGATGGGCACAGTTCCCTTGTGTGAAGCAGGTAGAAGCCAGATCCAGCTTCCCCTATGTTGTATCTGTTCCTTAAACAGATGGGAAAGGCTCATGTGGACTAATTCACCTTTACTGAGAGGAGTTAATAGGTTTAAAGTGAAAGTTGATGTTTCACTGCACGGTCCATTCAACTGCAGTAAAGAGTTTCCTTTTGAAAATTGTAAGTCACTGACAGTTTCACTCTTTTCTCCATCTATCATGATGTCGCCAGTGGTACCTGTGGTCCTCAGGCCAAGTGAGGAAAATAGAATACCACATCCAGCAGAGATCTGGCCCTCACCTGGGATGTTATCCTGCTGTGCCAGCCATGTACCTCAAAGGGAAGAGCAGAGACACCGCGTCACAGGAAGACAGTACAGGAGCGGACGCTCAGAGGCAAGGACCTTCCTCCAGAACTGCCACCAAGAGAAAACCTCTCTGGTACCTGGGGTTTGGACTTGGGGCCTCCAGAATTGTGAGACTTAAATAGTAGATGGTTATAATTACTCCCGTTCATCTTCTTTGTCAGATTAATAGCTAGAACTCTGTTTGTCTTAGGGTTTACAGTATATATTTTGGCTCCAGTAGAGTTCCTTTAACTCAATAGTCCAGCTTCATGTCTCCTATAGCATATAAATCTTAGGACAATGTATTTCCATTTCTCTCTTATCATTTTACCATTATTTTATCACATATTTTGTGCCACACGTTATTAACCCCATAATATATTTTTCTTTCCTTTTTTTTTTGCTGTAAATCACCGGCTGACACACTACAGTATGCAAGGAAAATCTTGCCAACTGTCTGTTAGATAAACCTTTGTGTTAGAAATGCTTTTTCCATTTTTTTTTAAAAAGGGTTGTATTGGAAAAAAAAAACAACAAAAATCAACATACCAGCAAACAAGTAATGTGCAGCAAACAAAACATGCCACTCACAAAATATAAAATATTTACTGTTTGGCCCTAACAACAAAATCATGCCTCATCCCTATCATGTAGTTATTTCCCTCTGTGTGTCTACCTGTGTCTGTGTGCAGTTGTGTCTGTAAGTCTATGTGTATCAGCTTGTGTTCATCTGGTAACATTTTTTTTGTCATGAGAACCTTAATATTTGCTGTGGTGTAGGTCTGCTGCCGCTGAACTGTTTTGCCTTTTGTGTGTCTGACAAGTAATTTCTCTTCCTATTTGAAGAATCTATTTCCTGGGTTTGGGGGTTTTTTGGTTGTCTTTTTGTTTTGTTTTGGTTTGGTTTTCCTTTTCATCATTTGGAGCTCTGGTGGCCTAGTGGTAAGCACCCATGCTGCAGTCCCAAAGACACATGGTTCAAATCCACCAGCTGCTCTGCAGGAGAAGGACGGGCATTCAATCCTTTAAAGATGCCATCCCACTATGTGTCAGTGTGCCTGCCATCCTGTATGAAATCTGCCGTTATTGTTTTGGTTTCTATTTGCAGTATCTTTTTTTCTCCAGCTGCCTTGACGATTTTAAGAAATTTTATCATGATGTGTTTTCCTCGGTTTATTTGTGCCTGGAATTTATTGAAGTTCATGGTTCTGTGCATTTGGAGCTTTCATCAGATTTGGAAAATTTTGACCATTATTTCTTCAAATATTTTCCCCTGACTACGGTCTCCCTGATCTTTTCTCTCCTTTGTGAGCTCAGTTACACTTAGAACTGTCTGTCCACTGCTCACTAACCCTCTGTATGCGTGATTTGGATAGTTTGTACTGTTGCTGTTGTTATGTGCCGTCAAGTCGCTAAAGACTCATAGCAACCCTATGTACAACAGCCCTAAACCCTGCTCTATCCTGTGCCAATTGCACTGCCTCCAACACACCCATCCCAATTATCCCAGTCACTGAATCAATCTACCTAATAGAGGGTCTTCCCCTCCTGTGCCGTCCCTCCACCCTCCCAAGCATGATGTCCCTCTCCAAGGACCAGTCCCTCCTTACAACATGTCCAAAATATGTCAGACAAAGCCCCAGAATCCTTGCCTCCAAGGAGCAGCCTGGTTTAACCCTTTCCAGGATGAATCTGTTTGTTTTCTTGGCAGTCCATGATATAGTCAATACTCTTCTCCAGCACCACAGTTCAAAGGTATCAATTCTCCTTCTATCCTCATTAGTCATTGTCCAACTCTTTGATGCAAAACAAGTGATTGCAAAGACCATAGCCTGTATCAGATGCACCTTAGTCTCCAGAGTGACACCATTGCTGCATTAACCTCATATGATTTCTTTTTCATCTCAGACATTACAGTTTTCATCTTTATTAAGTTTTAAAAAAATTTAGGCTCAAGGTTAATATTTTCTTGGTAATGTATATTCAAAGATATATTATTCAGTTGCTGAGGAAATGAGCATTAGGGAAGTTGGGAGGAGAAATTGGTTTTGTGGAGATAGAAAGTATTGTGTGCTTTCTTTTGATTTTGCTGAGATTTTTAAACTTGTAGTAGATACTTAGATTTGTCTCAGAATCAGGTTTGATGTGGAATAATTCTCTTTCACCTCATCAGGGAGCTCTGATGGCCTCACAGTAAGAAGCTCCGCTGCGTTCCCAAAGGCAAGCATTTCGAATCCACCAGTTGCTCCGTGGGAGAACAATGAAAAATCTCCTGCCACGCATTTACTGTTTCTGAGAACCCACTGGAGGGTCAGCTATGAGTTGGTTTCAACTTGACGGCATACAACAACATCTCGCCCCATCAGATGTCCCCAGAAGTGAGTCATATCGTTAGAGTCTCCATTTCTAAGTAAACACTTCAGCTGCCTAATGCAAAGATCAACACCTTGTACAACGCAGCCCAATCTCAGCCCACTGCCTGTGTATTTTAGGATAGAGAGAAACCATGCTCAAGGATAGAAAATGTCTGGAAAACTTGAGAAATTGAACATAATGCTTCTACTACACAGAAAGACTGTTGTAAAAGCATTGAATGTATTTTCTAATTTATAGGCACCAAAGATGACACGAAGAAATGTCAGCTCAGGAAAAAAGTTTCTGACTAGATGGATAGAATTGAAAATACGAAGAAATACTCTGATCAAGAAAAAGAAGGTAAAGAGATTGTGTTAGAAAACAGGTGGCAGGCAGCCGCTTCGCTCGTGGTGCTGGCCCCTACACACGAGGGCACTTGGCAGTCAGGACACGTGGCCGTGGTTACAGAGCGGAAAGTCACTAGAATGAAATGTTGCTCCTATGTATTCCAGGAAATAGATGGGTAAGTTTTCTACATCAGCTTTGTGTCTGAAATATATTGAGTGAAATTAACATTGGCTTGAAAATCGTGCTATCGTTTCTAACATTGTGTCATTGGAAATACTTGAAATCTAGAATTAAATTTCCTCCCAGTGTTTTAAATGAACTAGATGTGTAGGTTGCTTTTGGTTTTGCTTTTGTTTTCTTTTTTCCCCTGTTGTGCACCGTCGAATCGGATCCTACTGTCACAGGAGGCGTTTCCCCCTCCTTCTCCAGCAGAGAATCTGGTGGATTCGAACGGTGCACCTTTGAGACTGCAGCGCAGCTTCTTACCACTAGGCCACCAGAGCTCCCATAGATGGGTAGGTTTCTTTGTTTGGTTTTATTTTTTTATTGAGATTTTAATGAAAGTTTATAGAGAACTTGGATTTCCAGTCATTCATTGTTGCACCATTTTACACTCCCACCAACAGTGAATCAGGGTTCCAGTTTCTCCACAACCTCACCAGCATTTGTTGTTTGCTGTTCTGTTAAATTTTGCTATTCTGACTGGGGTGAAAGGATAGCTCATAGTTGTTTTGATTTGCATCTCTTAGAACAAGGGATTTTGAACATTTCTTCATGGGTTTACTTGCCATCTGAATGTCTTCTTTGGTGAAGTGTCTGTTCATATCCTGTATCCATTTTGCAATTGGGTTGTTTATCTTTATCTTGTTGTGGTGTAAGTTTCAATTCCTGACAGAATATATAGAGTACAGTTTTAAAGTACTTATATATTAATCCTATCATATATGTCATTTGTGGGCTAGTTCAGAATCTGATCAATGTCATTTATGAATCTATTATTTGATGCCTGATAATTTTGATTGGTTGCCAGATATTGTGAATTTTACTTTGGTTGGTGCTGGAAGGGTGTACGCCAGGGATGCATCCTGTCTCCGTAACTTTTCAACC